TCGCGTCGGCTTTGTTGTTGGATTTCAAAAATGCTATATGTTGAAATGGTCCTGCCTCCCAACTGTCATTCCTACCTGATCCTTACTTAATAGATCTTGAACTAGAATTTAGGATTTTTGAGGAATCTAAACCTTGAGGGTAATAAATCCATGAAATATGACATTAGACTAAGACTTAGCATTATGTACATCTAGGTCTTTTGGAAAAGGTGTAAGGCGAAGCTTTGTCCAATTCACCAATCATGAGACACTTTGTCAAGTGATTGCCTAGTTATTATCAAGAACACAATCTTAATTTAAAGAGTAAATTACACGAATGGTCCATGTGGTTTGGGGTAATTTGCATGTTTTGTCCCTAATTCTTTTTCTTAACTCAGATGGTCCTTAAGATGTAATTTTGTTGCACGTTTGGTATGGATTAGAAAGTGTATTAGGAATCGATTGCCTTTAGTTATAAGTCTTGCCTTACGTTTGAGAATAAGACTTGTAAAGGTTGCTTAGGTCTCATATTTGGGATAACATGTGAGATCAGAATGGAGTGAAGTCCTCCTCTTTCTTGGATGACTAGAAATGGTGGGTCTAGATCAGACAACTGTTAAGTATGTCTGGTCATCGACCATAGTAGATGACAACGCTTGACTATTTTAAGCAGTCTAGTGAATTACGTTGCTAGTATGGATTTATAATCCATGTAAGTAGATAAAATGGGATACCATATTTATCAAATATCTGAACATTGGTTTCCTTATATGACTTACATTGGCCAAGGACACCCCTAGTTGTGTAGTCAAACATATACTGAGACAATTCATCAGGTAAGGTGATTTTTCCAGATGATTGTTGAATTAGGATCTATGAGGATTGGTTGGGTTGGGTAGCTGGTCTTAGGTTCGATTTTATATACACTTATATTATCCGATAACATTGTTATGCAAGAATGATATTTTTTATCATCTTAAATTATTATGGGCTTGAAAACCCTACGTATCTCACTAGGTTTTCAAAATCCGACCTACTCATTTTATGCATCACAGGTAGCGGATGTAAGGTTGTTGAAGTCTAGCTAGGATGTCGAGTGGAATAAAGAGATGTGCCTGTAATAAGTAGTTTCAAAACCTTTTATATTTTACGCTGTAATGTATGCTTGGATATGAACAAATGACATCATCAAGGTTTTAATAAAACAACTTTCGTTATATTAAAAATGTTTTGTCTAATTGGGAATTTCTACATCTCAATTTATAAAACCTAAAAAAATATTTTAATTGATTCTGAAAAATGGGGTATGACATAGTAAAACCTCTCGAACTAACCATAAAAGGTGCATGGGAAAAGGGCGTGATGTTGGGAAACGGTAGGTTTGACAGAAGTGTTGGAATTTTCAAGAATGTAACGTTATCGTTACTAGGGCACCTACTAGTACACGATTTTATCCGTTAGAATTGGGTAGTTCGAATGTCATATTGGGTGTCAAATGGCTTTAGACCTTAGGCGAAACGTGGTTCAACTGGCATGAGTTGACCATGGCATTCATGGATGGAGATCGTAAGGTAACCTTACAAGGAGAACTTGGATTAAACCTACGAGGTCTAACTCAAGTTAGTCATGGGTTTCTAATAATAATCCAGTAGCTAGAGGTCGGGGAGGGTCCTGAATCGCAAGCATATCCGACACTCCAATGGATTTTTGAAGAATTTGCTGACATGTTCAAGTTATGAGAAATTTTACCATCACCTCAGGGGCACGAACACACTATCACTTTAAAGACAGGCATCGAACTAGTCAATGTCCGGCCATATCGCTAGCCACCATTACAAAAAAATGTATTCGAAAGGTTAGTGGAAGAGATGCTTACCGTCGAGGTAATTCAGCCGAGTACAAGCCCGATTCTTTTAGTCAAGAAAAAATATGGGAGTTGGCGCTTTTGTGTAGACTACTGGGCGTTAAACAAATTTACAGTACTCGATAAATTTCCTATTCCCGTTATCGACGAGTTACTGGATGAGATACATGAAGCTACGATCTTTAGCAAATTGGATCTCAAATTGGGGTATCAACAAATCCGTACGAAACACGATAACATACCAAAGACGACTTTTTGGACCCACGAAGGGCATTTCGAGTTTCTTGTCATGCCATTCGGCTTAACGAATGCACCCTTAAAATTTCAATCCATCATGAATAAGGTTTTTCGCCCTTACTTACGCAAATTTGTGCTTGTTTTTTTTTTTTTTTATGATTTTCTTGTCTATAGCCACACCATGAAGATCATCAACAACACAACAGGGTGGTATTTGAAACCCTTAGAACCGAGAGCTTATTCTGCAATCAAAAGAAATGCATTTTTGGTCAAGATTAGGTTGATGATTTAGGGCATGTAGTGACAAGTGGGGAGTGACATCGGATCCAAGCAAGCTCTTAGCAATGCTGGAGTGGTAGGAGCCAAAGGCGTTAAAAGAACTGAGAGGGTTTTTTGGGACTAAGGGTTATTATCAGAAATTTTTGCAGGATTACGGTAAGATAGCAAGATCATTGACCGATTTTCTCAAAAAAGACAAATTCCTGTGGAGCGACGATGCGATACAGGCTTTTCGATAACTCCAACTAGTGATGATGAAAGTAACAATGCCAGATTTACTAGATTTCATGAAGGATTTAACAATCGAGATGGATGCATCCGACTTTGGCGTAGGGCATTACTTATGCAAGAAAATGGACCAGTGGCTTATTTTAGCCAAGTTTTAGGTAACCGATCCCAACTTAAACCGATGTATGAGCGAGAACTTATGCCTATCCCAACTTAAAAGTGACGACACTACCTTTTAGGTCGACGATTCATAGTGATTACTGACCAAAAAATTCTGAAGTATCTGTTGGAACAAAGAGTGGTGGCGAGCGAGCATCAAAGATGGATTTCAAAATTATCCAGGTTCGATTTGAAATTCTATACCGATCAAGCAAGAAATGGGGCAACTGATGCGCTTTCCAGGCGACGAAAAGGCGTGTCCTTGGCAAACCTTACAATGTCACAGGTGAGTCATGGGGCGGAGCTGTTGGCAGATTTACATAACGACCCAAGATTGGTGTCGATAAGGGGTGTTTGGTAATCTCACACACATGTAAGTAGGTGTTACGTTTATGTCAGGCTAGTCATGGAGGAACGATACGGGGATATGATGGCATGCAAAAGACTTATCAACGACTCGTGAAAGAATTCTATTGGGTGGGCATGCGATAAGATGTGGCTAAATTTGTGTCAAAATGTATCATATGCCAACGTAACAAGTATCTGAATCTGGCTCCAGCGGGTCAGTTGCAACCGTTAGCTTTGTCAGATCAAATTTGGGTGGACTTATCGATGGATTTTGTAGAAGGATTACCAAAATCGGCAGGGTATAGCATCATTTTTGTATTTGTGGATCGCTTGAGTAAATTCACCCACTTTATCCTTCTCAAGCATCCATTTACGGCTTCATTTATGGTGAACATTTTTATTCAGGAAATTGTGCGCTTACACGAATTATGTGAGACAGAGACAAGATTTTTGTGAGCTTGTTTTGGAATGAATTTTTTAAATTTCAGGGTACCACATTGAACCCAAGGACTACGTACCACCCACAGACGGATGACCGGATGGAGGTGGTCAATAGAAGTCTTGAGACTTATTTGAGATGTTTTTCTTCCTTGCAACCCAAATAGTGGGTGAAATGGTTACCTCTTATCACTCATCGATATGAATGACCATGTTTAAGGTGTTGTACGGACGTGATCCTCTGAAATTTGTTAATTACAATCGTGGATTGGTTGTCACGTTTAAGGTGGATGAGTATTTGAGACGTTACAATGAGGTTCTTGGGCAGCTGAAGGGTCATTTGCTTCAAGCCCAACAGCTCATGAAGGCTCAAGCAGAAAGGAAGCGACATGAGGTGGAGTTTAATGTGGGGGAACGTGTGTACTTGAAGATCCAACCTAAAATGGAATAAAAAGTTGTCCCCACGTTAGTATGGGCCCTTTCAGATAATGGCACACATCGGTAAGGTGGCGTATAAGCTCAATTTACCTGCTACAACTTCGATTCATCCGATTTTTCATGTATCGCAGCTCAAGAAGGTGGTGGGTGATCAGTCGGTACTTACCAACCTGTGGGTGGAGCTGGCTAAGGAGGTTTCGAGAGTGATGATTCTAGAACAGGTGATACAGAGTCTAGAGAACTTGGATGTTACGACATGGTTGATCAAGTGGAAAGGGTTACCAAAAGAAAAAGCCACCTCGGAGGAGTGCGGGTTCATTTGTTGCAAGTTTCGAGAGCATCACCTTGAGGACAAGGTGAATTTTCAGGGCGGGAGTATTGATATGAATCGCCCAAATAAGTGGTCAAAGGTTTGCCAGAGGATGGGAAAGAAGTCTGAATGGGATAATTAACTATTTTTTCTCAAATAGTTGTATTTTGTTTTAAATCTTTTTTTGCTGGATGATGTTTTTGGTTTTGTTTTAGATGGGCTTTAATATTTTCGACTAGGAGGGGTATTGGATATTTTGTTGTTTTTCTTAGACTGTCTTATCTTGGAGATCCCCATGAATATTAAAGTTCAGGTTTACTTTGGTTGAATGCAAGCATTAGGCTACTTTTGTTCTCTTCGATTGTGTGTTCATAAGGCGTATTTTGGGATGTTTCTAATCATTTGTATATGTGGCTTTTTTGGCATGATTTGTTTAAAGTTTATTTATGATTTATTTCCGAACCCTATGATTGATTGGACCTCATGTGTTTGGTATTCCAACCCAATGCTTGATTCGGCCAAAGATATGCAAGAAACAAGGGTATTCCATCTGAGAATGACTGAACCCATCATAGAGTGTGTTTTGTGTTTTGTGTGGTCATCATAGGGTAATACGCACAACAAATGTGGGCGTTTGCCCACCATTCATAGGAGCCAAAAAAGTTAAACAAAAATACAGAAAAAGATCAGCAGAAGCACAAAAATGCAAAATTGATTTTAGGATTTTTATTATATCGGGCGAATCATATGGTATATGAAAAAAGAAAAGGCTAATACCCACTTATAAACAATTTGCCACAACCGTAACTTGCCTAAATCCACGATCGTTGCTAGGATTCTCATTATACAATCCATGAGTTCGTTAGTACATACCAACAAATACTCTCAGTTCCTTCTCTAACAATAATTCGAACCGAAAAAGATTACGTGATTTTGTCACAAATTATCCAAAAAAAAAAATCTATCGCAAACAACCGCAACCTAAATGTCTTTATATGCTTAACAAAGTGAATCAAATCAAACTTCTTAAACCATCTTCGATGCTACATTAAGTATTTACTCAACGATTTCGGTCATTTCTCAATGTAAACTAACTCCACGACACCATTATGTACAAAACGGTCAACTGCAGTCAAAGTCAAAAACTACAATTAATAAAAATGCATAACTTTCAAAAAGAACAACAACGAAGATGGCAAATCGGATTAAATTCAATTCAATAGCATAGTTGTAAGTTGTAATCATATTCTTATCACATTAATTATGGTATTTAATTCAAGTAAAATAAAGAATATAATATAACATTTACATACCTGGAAAGACAGAAACTTGATGTCAACCCCTTGGACTTCAGCAAACTAAATCACGACACTGACAACATGGCAACCTTATGATTTTTCCAAATGACAATCAACAACATAACAAATTAACAATGCTCAATCCAATCAATCAACCCTCCTTCTCACTCACTAAACTGATCAATCAATCTTTCATCTGCAACTTTTTATTTGATCAGCTCCTTATTTGTACTGTACACTTGTACAAAGGGTGTTGAAATCTTGTCCCCAACATCTAAACAGGTTGTTTTATAGAAGAGCTGAAAGAGATCAAACTACCCAAAAAAAATCACCTGCTAATTACTTCCATTGCAACCCTTACAAGTTGTAACAATCCTTCAACATCCTGAAAGTTGAAATCCAGAGCTGGTTTGATTATTTCTTTATGGTGGGCATGTTCTGGTTGTGAACCACATGCTGCATATGCAATCTGAGATCTTCTAGAAGCTTCCATTGCAAAGTTGACATCCTGTGCCTGCAAATTAATGTTTTTTAAGAACCCAAAAAGCTGCTAAGGTTTGTGTTTGTGGTTGTGGTTTCAATGAAGAGAATGAGAGGGGCATCAAGGACAAAAACCATCTTTTTGGGTGGGAATTACAACATGATGATTCATTCATTCATTGTGCACTTACAAAGTTAAGAATCCGCACAAAGTTGGGCTTATTTCGAGCAGCAATTATATGATTTCCAGCAATTTGAGGATCACTAACACCCTTGGCTATGGCAGCTTTGTCAACAGCTGCTGGGTTGTTGTTATTCAAGTTATCGATATCAGAAGCTGAGGAAGAAGGGGACTCACCTACAACAAATATAAACATCGCATAAAAATCTTTATCAACACGTGTATAAATTTAAACTAAATAGTAATGTGCCTTTAGTTCAAAGTGTTTAATAATTAATACAAGATAAGTGTAAAGGCTTTGAAGAAAATGAGAAGAAAAAAGCATACATACCAGTAGGACCTATTTGGAGAGACGATTGCAATTCTTGGCGATCTTTGCATGCGTTTGTATGTGATGAATAGACCACCTTTAAATATGCCACCTCAGCCAATTTGTAGGCCAGAGCTGCAGCAGCCATTTCTTTTGATTTCTCGTATTCATGTGCAACATACCTATTATTAATATCATCATTAATCAAACATTGTTACAAGAAAGGAAAATGTATAATGGGTAAAGAAATGTAAGCAAGCATACTTACTCGCAAAGTTTTGCAGTGCTACCATACATGACCATTGACTGAATCATATCACCATGTTTCCCAGTCTCGTTATGGCTGGATTCCAATAAAGAGGACCCATAAAGAAACTTAAGGGCAGCTTGGAAATAAAGTGAATTACTCTCATGGTTGGATCCAGAATTCTGCAAATATCAATTATCAATCAATCAACCACCTCATCACACACATAGACATAGTCGATTTAAGGAATAACTTGAACAAACCTTAAGGCGATCAGCCATGTGCTTAAGAGCTTTTGCCTCTTTAACAGCACTTGCAGCCTGACTCGATGATTCCCGTCTGAGTGGACTCGGTGCATCATGATCTCCCCTTCCCTTATTATGCCTATTCGGGGGGGTTGGATGTCTTACACTTGTGGACTGGTTTTCAACTTTCTTTTTCTGCTTTGCTCCTTTCAATACATCACTCCCTTCAGCAGCATCAACCAGTAAACCGTTTTCTTTTTGAGAAACCACGCAAGGTTGTGGAGGGCGTGACGCGTCATTTTGACCTTTTCCTGTAGGTGGTAAAGAGTGTGACTTTCCTCTTCCGGAAACATCCTTCTTTGAAATCCTTTCAACATCACGCTCCATTGACACGTTATTTTGCTTCACGTCATGAACCGGGACAGGGGCAGAATCGTCATTGTGTCCATGCTTTGGTTGGGGATCCCGTTTACTAGTGTTCTCACTCAATGGTTTTGAAGAATCTTTTTTTGAAGCTGACCCTTTTTCAAACTTATCAGGATATACAGATGGCTTCTCTTGAGACTTGTGTCGCCCTGCCTTTGACTTTTCTTCATAAATAGGGACATCTGATATCTTAAGGTTAATTTTGTCAATATCAGATTTGGAACTCCGGTTTTTGTCTTTAGATCTTGAGGAGGATCCTTTCCCGTTTTTCCTTGAACGGGACCCGTTGGAATGAGATCTGTCATCGTTATGGCCTTGAGCGGACGGTTTTGCCCCTGAGGTACCAACACGAAATGTTTCAAATTCAAGTGAAGGGGCAATTTCCACCTTACCTAAACCCTTATCTAAAGATTCTGTTACATCTAAATCCTTCTTGAATGTTGTGTTTGATCGGAAACTTCCTCTATCTTCCTCCCAGTCTTTTTTAGGACTAACAACAGCATCTTGACAATTATCAACACCTTCAATGTTCCTTCTAGAAGATATAATAAGCTTATCAGGATTCAAGATTCTCAAAGGAGATGAAGAAACGGATTCCACTGGTGACCCTTTTGCTTCCTGGATATTGGTTTTAGTTTTATGAGAACCGGATACTTTTGAAGAGCTTGAAGTAGCAGCCAGTGAAGCATGCACATGATCTCTTTTAGAAGAATCTATCACTCTAATTCTTCCCTCACCTTTGCTTGCAAACATTTCTTCCTCACGGGGTTCAGGTACTTTTACCCTTTTACCCTTCCTATGCCCATTTTCACTCGTTTCTTCCTCAAATTCATTAGATTTCCTTTTGTGCACAACATGGGGGGGTCCATTTGGGTTTTTGGGATGCATACCCAAAACTTTTGAGGCAGATTTTGAATCTTTAAGGCGATCATCATATTTCTTATGGTCAGAAGCCCAATCTTTATCGGTCCCATGATTATCATCCGTTTTCACTTTCTTTGAATCTCTAGAACAATCTTGACTAGTCTCTCTTTTGTTCTTAATCTTCAATTGAAGAGGATTATTGTTATGATTATGATTATTATTATTATTACCTGTACAAAAAAAGATCAAAGTCAAGAAACCGAACAAGAAAAGAAAATATCAGAATCAACATCAAAATACCTTCATCCACAAAGTTCTCACGCAGCTTCTTCTTTTCTTTATGCTTCAATCTGTGCTTTTCTGCAATCATGCTACTAGATTGGCCAGAATCTTGAAATTCTAGATGAGAGGGAGAGTGGTGTGCACCATTCAAGCTTCTAGTTTTATTGGATGTTTGTAAATTCTTTTTTGCAGAGTTAGAAGACAACGATGGTCTCTCTTGTTTCGGTTCATTTGGGACATCTTTTGTTCCATGTTTTTTCTTTACAGCAGCTTGTGGACCAAAAAGATGGTGTCTTTGATCAGGATGTGGAGGGGGATCAAGTGACATGGGCCCACCAGGATGCACCGGCTGTAACCCTTGGGCTGTAGGGGCTGGGCCTGGAAAATGGGCCATAATGGCCTTTGTTGTCTCTTCCTGACTGATGCTGCAGCGGTTCATTCCAGGCCTATTGATGTGACATATGTTAAAAGTATGTCAACAACCATCACCCTTATAAAAATGCAAGAAAGAAAAGCTATAGTTTGCATGAATGAGAATTCTGCTATCGATATGGGCATTGTTCTACATCTGTTGCATATAACTTTTTCAAAAAATGAAACGATAAATTTATGGAAGAAAAAAAAACACTTACAGCCATTCGAGCATGCTACAGAGCCACTTTTCAGGAAGACTAGAAGGATTGACACCAGGTGGAAGAAGCCTCCATTTCTCACATTTATCACAACAAACCCAATCTTCATTGACAACAGCAGCCACTGTTCCAGAAGCTGCATCAGAAACAGGTGTGGGTCCCGTTATCGGGGCTATAAGTGGGGCCACTCCCGGATACACTACCGAAGAGGGTTTCTGATCTTTCTTTCCATTTAGTGATAGTCTATCTTTTGACAAAATATTAGTCTCTAGAGTACCCTTTTCGGTTACTCTATTGTCCTTTTGCCTATCCCCAAAAGGCTTTTCCTCTAAAGCCATGTCATCACCCTCTTCAAGTTCCGGATCAAGGTCTCCAAAGAAATCTTTGTATGTAGTATCTCTCACTTTGACATTATTGCCCCTCGGATCATCCGTTTTCGACCCGTGGGCGTTGTTTTTACTTTTGGAAGGGTCATTCTTGACTTTCAAGACCTCGACACTTTCAAAACCATTTTCCAAACTTCCTTTTGATTTCTTTTTTCCCCCGGAAGATGACGTGGCCAATTTTGTGGAATCTTTTTCTCGTGATGTAGCTTTGTGAGCAGCCTTCTGCTTTGGGGGCTGGACTTTTCCATTCTTGGAAACGTCTGAATCGGATTTTGTAGGGAAAGTTGGATACTTTTCATCAGAGTTTGAATCTTTTTTATAAGGCTTCTCAGCCCGAATATCATTTGGTGTCAACCCTGGATATAAAGATTCTTCTTTTGGTATAACGCCAGATGATCCACCCTTAAAGGCAGCAACTTTTCTGAAATCCACCCTCATACCATTAGAGAGAGGTTCTTCACAAGACAAATTATCCATGTCAGCTTCCTTTTTTGTTACACCACCAATGCTATCACAAACAATGTTGACGTTTTTCAGTTCAGGTGGGACCAAATTACCCTCGGTCTTTGGCTTCTTGTCGTTTCGGTCAACTTTGATATCAGGCCTATTAACTGCCAAAGTACTTTCTTGGCTTTTCTTATGCACAGAACCACAACTACTATCCTCCCGTTTTTCTTTTTCATTCAAATACAAGAGTTCATACGGAAGAGGAGATAACAGTAGACCTCCAAGAACCGGAAATGATGTCATCATCTATTTCAGAATCAAAAATTCAAAATTAAAATCTTACCCACGTAAAAAGAAGATCAAGATTCAAGAAAACATTAGGAGCTTTACCAACCTCAAGAATACTAGTAGGCGATTCCTCATGAGGGCTGCCATTAGGCAAGTGACAAAAATCATCACTGTCTACAGGACTAGCTTCCAATGATGATGAAGGGGAGACATCAAGGCCAAGTCCACTGTAGATTTCAGCATTTTTTTGAGTCGACAAGTTATCAGAGCCAACTTTGATTCTAACCTTGAGCGACTTTTGGTCAGAAATGTTAGCAAAGTTGTTAACAGATTGTCCATTAGAAGTGAATTTGTCACCAGCCTTATTAAATAAGGGGTGCCCTTCTTGTTTCACTTTACCATTCATCAAGTGACTCCTTGGTGGTGGTGCAGATGCACCACCAGTCAAAACTGGACCATGCTTTGTTGATTGAGATGCATTTGATGTGGATACAGAGCTCTGACGACCACCCTGTGTAGTAATATAACTAAATACACTTGTGCAAAATGTAAATGCAACCATTAACTATGGTATTGATTATTGAAAGAGGGGTTGTTACTTGTTATTATGCCAATTATGGTGGATGTGGATTACCTCTACATGGAGATCATTTGGAGATATGGATTGATTATTGGTGGGAATTTTTGGTGGCGTCTTTGGATGAGGGCAAGCAGGAGAACGTTGATAAGTGGGCAAAAATGAACCGTATCCCCCAAACTTTGCCCCTGCAAATAAGCACAAATGCTAGAATCAGCATTCCAGCACTTCTAGTTTGGGCATACCAACGATCCGCTACTTCTTTAACTTACCCAAATTTTCAGCTGAAACTCCACCTTCAAAATCCTTCTGAAAATGTCCCAACACATCTTGAAGTTTCTCATCCTTCAGAAATTACAAGTATGTGTAAGAGAAACAACTACAAGCTTTGATAGGACATGAAAAGAATCACATTGCATATAAATTCTTTGTCTTGAATATGATATACATACAGATTAACTGTTTCTTTACTTCAAAAATAGGAAGAAAAAGGAACCAAAGTACTACGCAAATATAGAGACTAGGCATACGTCTTCCGTTTCTTAATCATATTTGTCCTTGAACGAATACCCTTATTTACCTTTTCTATCTGTTATGTTTTGAATGTCTTGTTCTCTCATCTAGGTCAAATCAACTACCTATTAACCTATTTTGCAACTGCAAAAACGGAATAGCATTTTGCAAATTGCAATTACTAGAAACTAGAATTACGTTCCTTAATAAGCATGGAAAAACATTAAAGGACTAACCTTTTCGAACGGAAGGTCTAATAAGTAAAGAGCGATAAGGTCTAAGTTTACGCATTTATTATATGAATTTATAAGAGAATTTCTGTCTTTTACTGGTTTCCTTATAGACTTCATGCATACATACTCACATATATAAACTCATCCATGTGCATAATCTATATATCATGCATTTGTTTCTCTCCACATGTACTCTTGCAACATAGATTCGCCTCGTAATTACTAGCCTGACAACAAACTAATTTTTTTTTTGTTACTCTTGGTTCATACAAGGAGCAAGTCACTTGTTACAACACAATAAGTCAAGATTCAGAAACCAACTCAGAATGTCCCTAACCCTAAAAACTCAAAAACTGTCACACTCCATAGATGTAGGTTAATTAATCAATGATGCTTGATAAGCATCCAATGCTCTAAAGATAGGGAAAATTTTAACGGAAGGTTCAAAGGTAGCTACAAAAATCCATGTCCACAATCATGTCCAAGAATTTATTTGTTGAGGAGAAATTTACAAATAGAAACAAAGATGGGTGTGGGGTTGTTGGATGTGTGTTTCTAAGCTATTTATTGTGAAATGGATGGATATAATCAAATAATGAGCTGACTGAAGCTAGGAATAGGTAGGTAAGATCAGATTTCTCTCAATAGCAACTTCTTACATACTTCCCCAAATCTGATTACTTTTACCCTAACACTCATGCTGATTATGGAAAAAGCACATCCAAACACCCCCTGTACAGGCTACTGAAATTCAGGCAAACATCAATTCACGTCGTTACATATACAGATAGAAAGCAAATTATACATACAATACATAGATCTAACCATCCAAGACGAGGAAATTGATTTGAAACAATGCCCATTTACTAATTAATTGTAATAGAGCAATACAATTCAAAACCTAACAATTGAAACAGCTTAAACAGTAGTCGGAGAAAATTGTTCCTTACAAGATAAGAAAGAGCAACGTCAGGGTCAATTGTTGAATCATCATCGTTATTGTTCTGAAAACAGGCCTCTCCTTCTTCAAGTTCAGTCTCTAAATCCATATCTCCGCCTTCAACACCATACCTCAAACTTAACCCCTTCATACCATCTCTACTCCCAACAGAAATCATCCAAAAGAAAAACCCAAAAAGGAGACCAATCAAATACACTTTCTTCTAAACAAAATAATTTGAAAGAGAACAAAAAAGGGGAAAAAGATATATCTCAATCAACCAAAACTTGCTTTACAAAACCGTAACAAAACTCGAAAATCTCATCGACCTTTTTTAGATAATCGAAAACCCATCAAAACCCAAAAAGGAATTCTCCCGAAACATCAAGATCGGAAACAATACCAATTTTCGCCAAACAAAATCCAAACATAAACAATGAAATACCGCAAAAAAAGAAAATAATATTGTCAGCTCAGTTCCCGATCTCTGATCAAAATTGGTTAAATTTGCTGACCCTGTTATGCTTGGATCGTGCTAAATTTTGACGATCTTCTGTTAGCTCAAATCGATGAGCGATGAAAGAAACAAAAACGGAGGAGACTCTGGTTTTGGTGTACAGCTGCCGCTTTTTTTCCTTTTTATTTATTTTTCATATTTACCTTTTTATTTGTTGTTTGGGAGTGAGGATTTTATTATATTATTTATACTTTTATTTTATATATGTAAATGCTGCTAAAAAATGTTATTTCTTTCAATTATGATAACGTTTCCAATTACACCCTATGTTCTTATCCCACTTTAATATCACGACTTTCCTTTTTAAAATTAATATAACGTATATCCAAAATCCAAAATAAATAATTAAACTGTTCGTAAATTTTGTCCAAATCATCGATGAAAATATCATCTATCCTTAGTGGAATATCACAATTATTTGATATACATGTAATCTCATTCCGATATATTTGGGATATTGATGTTGATGTTGAGATAAATAATGAAAATATATAATAAGTATTGTAGGTATCTTCCCATTCTAATTAATATAAAATAAGTTTAATTTTTTAAATCGAATAATATATATATATATATATATATATATATATATATATTTTGAAAAATTGAATACAGAACCATAATTATTGATTTTCTAAGGAACTAATTTTTTTTTTTAAGTTCTAGAGCTTATTCTTTATTGAAAAAAAAATATAAAAATATCTAAATTCATATATTAACATTGTGAATATGAAAAATATTTTTCGAATTCACCGTGTGAATCCGGATTCACATTATGAATTTTCAAATATTCACATTGTGAATTTGACGATTTTTTTTTTCCGAATTTGATATCATTGGAAAAAGGATAAAAAGTTATGAATTTCTGTATTTTTAGTTTTTTGATAAAAAATAAATTCTAAAAGTTGAAAAAAAAGATTGGTTCTTTGGTTAATTATGAAACTCTATTGAATCTTACCCTATATATATATATATATATATATATATATATATATATATATATATATATATATATATATATATATATATATATATATATATAACAAGCTTTGTAATAAAAAATAAAGTAAAATACGCATGCGATCTTTGTGGTTTGCCCAAATTCATACAATTTGGCCCTAGTACTAATTTTGTTAGAATCACACTATTTGGTCCTAATACTAATTTTGTTACATGGTTGGTCCTTATAGTTTGCATTATTTAAACGTCCCTCAACCTAACTCCCTTTTATTCCCACCATTAATGAGAGGCATGTGATCCTCACGTGAGAGCAAAATAATTTTTGATTTGTGCCAACGGCTTGCCACCTTAATCATGCATTAAATGAGATGTTGATCTCGACCATCATTTCTCATGTATTGCTAATCATCGGCTCAAGGAACCCAATGCACCTTTTGTAACCTTCGTCCTCATTGCTAGAAGCTTATAATCATAATCATACGGGGGAAAAATCTTGAGCAGATCAAGATGAATCAACCCATAATGTGGAGTATGCATACCACTGAAGTTAGTGTGGATATGAAAGAAATTTATGGTAAGTTCATAACCATTTGCCTTAAATCTTTATCTATTTGAGTTATTGTTAATAATTTTATGATTTTATAGGACGTTTTGCTAATTTATTCATAGTGAGGATTAACCATGATGGATTTCACCAAATTACTAGGAAAAAGGTATATAGATGGAAATGTAACTTATGTGGACGTAAATGAGTTTTACGTACACAGACTAAACTTTATATTGAGAGAAATTAAGTTTTTTAACATTGTCCTTTTACATGTCATAGGTGCAATTGGACTTTGGTAATTTACCACTTGGCAACGACCAAGATGTGATTACTATCTATGTATGTTGCTAAGTGTAAGCAAATCGTGATTTACACTAAGCATGGATGGTGTATGTAGCACCCGGTTCCTGGTATGTATTTCATTCAAGTATTTTTCACATTTTGGAATGGACCCGGCGAGTTGAAGCCCAACTCGTCGAGTAGAAGTGACTTGGACCTGAGGGATAAGTGGCGGACTTGTCGAGTCGGCAGCAAGACTCAACGAGTAGACCCTGTCTGGATAAAACCCTAATCCAAGGATTTGCACCCTATTTAAACATCTTATTCAGCCTCCATCGTCCCCTATGCTTTCAGAGCACCTCATATTAAACCCTAATCGTCTTTGGTGAAGATCTAAGGCCTATTTGGTGGATTTTGGTGGTTTGTGATCACAATAAGGAAAGAAAAGCTTGAAGAGCCAAGAGGAAATCATAAGATCCTGAGTTTGTGCTGCATCTACAGTTCTTTGGAGGTATAAAGTTTATACCTTGCTCATTCATGTTCTAGATCCCTTTTGGAGTGAATTAGGGCTTTAAGGAGCCATTTTTGGTGACCAACTATGAGTACAAGCATGGTTGAGGTTGAGACTCTAGATCCAAGGTCCTTAGGGGACTACAAGACATAAAGTGGTTGACTTTGGGGCCTTAGAAAGCCCCATGCATTTTAAGAGTTTCTTTTGGAGCCTTTTGAGCTTATTCTCCCATGCATGCACGTAAAGTTTGTAACTTTACGTGCTAGATCGATCTTAGGAGCCTAGATTTATCTTTTGGGCAAGTGTTGTACATCAGAAATCGAGAAATGAGACTTGAACAACCTTGACTCGACGAGTTGTTCTTGGGACTCGACGAGTCCGAGGCCTGACTCCCCTTTCTGTTAGGGTTCAAAGGAACCCAGTGAGTGTTAGAATGGTCTTAGAGGGGTCCGAGGGTGTGACCCAACGCATTGGACTTAGCCATAGACCTGGAGTTAATAGGACTTGACGAGTGCATGAGCAGACTCGGCGAGTCCAAGGCAATCTCCCAACTTTTGAAGATGAACTCGACGAGTTGTTCATACAACTCGGTGAGTCAAGGACAATACTTGTTTGTAGGACGAGGATGAACTCGACGAGTTGTTCATACAACTCGACAAGTCGGATGAAGGTTCATTCAAGGTTGTTTTAGAAGGAGAACTCGTCGAGTCATTGCTAAACTTGACGAGTAGAAGTGTGAAGAAGGGTAAATGAAGGGTAGGGACTCGACGAGTTAGAGGCCCAAATCGGCGAGTCAGGTCAACTGGAAGTTGACTTTGACTTGGTTAGGGGTAAAATAGTCATTTTACCCTAAGAGCAGTTATCAGTGCCTGACTAAGTGTTTTATGGGAATTATAGCCGGAGGACCACCGGAGCAACAATCAGACATTTGCGGATCAGCTTTTCAGCAATCAGCGTTACGAGGTGAGTTACCTTCCAGTAGTGGTGAGTCTACGGCCACAATGTCGGCCCACCAGTAGGAGTTTGGTACTCGTCTCCATTTTAGCACCGCATTCCACCCGCAGACGGATGGTCAAAGCGAGCGGACCATCTAGACTCTGGAGGATATGCTGCGAGCATGTGTGCTAGACTTTGGTGGTAACTGGGATACTTACCTCCCATTGGCTGAATTCTCCTACAACAACAGCTACCACGCGAGTATCGATGGCCTTCCCTTTGAGATGTTATATGGGAGAAAGTGTAGGATCGCGATATTTTGGGGTGAGGTTGGCCAAAGGGTCATAGGGAACACCGAAGTGGTGCTCAAGACGACAGAGAGGATTCAGCAGGTCAGAAGCAGGCTCCAGACTGCACAAAGTCAGCAGAAAAGCTATGCCAACAAGCGTCGTTCAAACCTGGAGTTTCAAGTCGGGGACATGATTCTCCAGAAGGTGTTGCCTTGGAAGGGCGTCATTCGATTCAGGAAGCGGGTCAAGTTGGGCCCTAGGTATATCGGGCCTTTCAGGGTTTTAGCCCGGGTGGGCAAGATGGCATATCGGCTGGATCTGTCAGCCGAACTTAATCAGATCCATAGCACTTTCTGTTGGGTTTTGAGCAATCTAACACTTCCTAAGTGTGCATGCAACCCTAGTAAACCTTGGATCTATGTTTGTCTAAATACATGCAAAATAATAATTTTCCAAGGTTTATAACCTATCTAACATGGCATGGGGAACATTTCAATATAAAAGAGTTAGAAGAGATTACATACCTTTTGGTGAGTTTGGTTCTAAGGAGTTTAAGGGCCAAGCACCAATAGTGTGAATGCCTCAAATGGAATCACAAACACCACAAACTCTTGGAAAACTTTGAGAGAGTATACACCTTGTATAAAATCGGCCACACACATGCACACACACACTAGTTCACTAGTTTTTCTCTTAGGCTTCATTTCATGCTCCATAAGCATGCTTATATAGTGTGAATGGTTAGGGTGAAACCCTAATAACCCATGTCTTTTCCTTTTCCAAGGATCCATGGGTTAAAAGCTCCATGGATCATCCATGGACTTCCACATAAGCCTAGCCCATTAACAAATGAGTATTAGCCCACACTATATAAAACAAATAGCCCATAATTTAATTAGTATTCCTTTTAATCTCTAAATTAATTCATAATTAATTTAAGACTAAAACTAATTAAATAACGTAACTTCATATTAATATATTATAACTCATAATATATTAATAAACATATGTGTATAACTCTCATAAAATTATCCATAATAGTTTGGATGAGATGCAACCCAAATGGACCATGCCGGTCGGGTCAAGTATATACCAAATAAGTTATGGACTTAGACACCTTATCCAACAGACTCCCACTTGGATAAGTCTAATAACTATATTTGCCTATAACTTCAGGAACCAACCAACAATCGTAGCTCTCGAAAACTCCCTCGAACAATGAAGACTCTGTCGAACTATGAAGCGCCATTTTAGATAAGTGATCACATAATCCTCTGTTCTCATGATATCAGCCGGACAAACACATGGAACTATGTCTTGCTTATTGTCTAGCAGTTGTTTCTCGATTTTCCGATTTGTTTGACGAAGAACTTCACTGAACACATCGGTTTAGTTCTGACCAGGCCTGGTACATGGGTCAACACAAAATCATCGAGGGGCCCAGATATCGCTTCTATTTCTAGAAGGAACAGATAAACTTCGACTGATATGCTTGTTCTACTACTTATTGAATTGTACACAAAGGCACGTTTTATAACATCAAGTTACTGATGCGTTTACGTGCAATCAATGCACAACCAACTCATAGGTAACAACTCATATCTCTAGGTTTAAAGATTTATATGATGTTATCGTCTCACGATCACTCGAGATAAATTCCATGAAGTGATACAAGTGAGCGTGGGTTTATACCAATACTCATAACTTATGAGTACTCATGAATGTTGCAGCAACCATTGCCATGTCTAAACACCTTTAAGGCATCTACAAACCCAATTCATGACAATCTTGATTCATACCTACTTCCGACGTATGATCGATTGTGGAGGTTTGAATAAATTAATTATTCTGGAAGTCAAAACATGCAAAACTGAAACAATAGTAAATAATTGACAATGATAGTAACACTTTACTCATAAATAAATCACAAATTTTATTCATCATCAAACGTCGATTACATTTTACAAGTTTCAGGAAAACTATCTAATCTGTAAAACTAATATCGTCCCTCAGCCCGATGCGTCTCGCATGCTGAAAATGCTTAACCCTCGTCAGTCCCTTCGTAAGGGGATCTGCAGGATTCTCATCCGACGATATCCTCCTTGTCACAAGGAGTCCTTCTTCAATCTTGTGTCTTATGAAGTGATATTTTCTGTCAATGTGTCGGGATCTGCCATGATCTCTTGGTTCCTTGGCTAAGGTAACCGCACTATTGTTGTCACAGAAAATCTCTATAGGTTCCTTAATAGCTGGTACAACTCCAAGGTCTCCGATGAAGTTCTTTAGCCATATCGCCTCCTTCGCTGCTTCACTCGCTGCTATATACTCTGATTCACAAGTCGAATCAGCCACCGTCTCCTGCTTGGAACTCTTCCAAGAAATTGCCCCTCCATTTAAGGTAAAGATCCAGCCCGACTGAGAGCGGAAATTATCCCTATCAGTCTGAAAACCAGCATCACTATACCCTAATATTCTCAAGTCATCACCCACCAAGGGTAAGGATCCAATCCTTAGTCCTCCGCAGGTACTTGAGAATGTTCTTTACCGCGGTCCAATGAGCCTTGCCAGGGTTCCCCTGATACCTGCTGACCATGCTCAAAGCAAATGCCACATCAGGACGGGTACAAGTCATAGCATACATGATCGAGCCAACTGCGGAAGCATACGGTAATTGGCTCATCTCAGCTATCTCTGCCTCTGTACTCGGACTCTGAGTCTTACTCAGTTTGGTATTGCTTTGGATCGGTAAATCTCCTTTCTTGGAATTCTCCATGTTGAACCTTTTCAACACCTTATCCAAGTAGATACTCTGACTAAGTCCAATTAGTCTTCTACTCCTTTCTCTTAATATCCTTATCCCTAGGATATAGGTAGCCTCCCCTAGGTCCTTCATAGCAAAGCACTTCCCAAGCCAGGACTTAACCTCCTGCAAGGTTGGGATGTCATTTCCTATGAGTAGTATGTCATCCACATA